AAAAAAAAAAAAAAAGTTTCTGTTTGTCCGTCGCTGTACACGTGGCCCTTTGCCTAAACGTGTGAACATACGCTACATGTGTGCGTGTGTTTGCTCGGTCTCCTTCGGCAGTCAACGCTCAGCTATGTTGTTTGTGTCCCGGGGAGAAAGGAAAGCTCTGTTTGTGTAGGGTGGTGGTGCAGGAGGGGGTGGAGTAAGAATCAGACCCAAGTATAGGCTGTCTCACCACAGTAACTCTCCCCACCCATTCGACGCCCTTCCAGCTTCCCCTCTGCTTTCCCTCCAGCTCCCTCGCGCTCCCACCTGCTTGTTTGGGGCGGGAAAATGTAGACGCTCTCAAAATGGAGGAGTGAAGAATGACATCAAGGCATCTGAGGCCAATTCCTGAGAGAACAGGGGCCTGATTCAGGGTCCGAAACTAGAAATGTACAAATTTGAAGGACACTTTTCCTCATTTCATCATGCAGATGCTTTTTGCCATTATTTGGCAAACTTTTCAACTTATCCATCTTCCACCTGAATATAATGGAAGTAGATGGAATGTCATTATTGCTGCAGAAAGTTTTACTCCCCTGTGACTCAGGACATTACAGTGTGTTTTGGAAGGAGACGCTGCTCTAATTCTCCTGATGAGTCACTGATAAAGTCATTAACAAAGTAAAGGTTAGCAATGTCTCACTTTCTGATACGCCATCAAGTCTGCAGCGATATTAGTGTTATTGTCTCTGCATCAGGAGTCCAAGACAAAAAGTCAGTCATTGCCAAGAGTTTTCCCCAGCGTGTGATGAAGTCCTCAGCAAAAATAATGAATCCATGGATGGCATAGCTTGCAAACCCAAAAAAAAGGGTTTATCAGTTTTTTTAGTTTGTGGTTTTGGCACATGCATTATTACTTGGACTCATTCAGGACCCAATTTGCAACCCTCCAGAGTAATAACTGAATTGAATCAAAGAGAAAGCAAACCAGGACTGTGAGTCAGCACGGACAGAAATGCTAAAATATGCAGTTGCTAAATCGATGGCAGAGAACTAACAAGAGCTTTGATGGAACTTGAGACGTCAGTGTTGCTACATTTGGTGGGATCGGACTTACAGCTCCAAAGTTTTACCTCGCAAGGCAGCTGGATTCTCACAAGATGGTGAGAAACAGCATCTTGCCAGGGATCAAACTGTGCTTGCAGACAATCCACAGTTGGTCAGATCAAGAAACATCGTATGAGGAGCTACTGACAGCTGTGGACATGCCTTAGGTGCGAGTTAGCCTGTGATAGACGGTAATAGACCTCTGGTTCAATCACCTGTCGAGCACTTTTTGAAAGCGCACACACTTTTTTTCCAGCAGCCTTCCAGGTCGACTCGACAAATGTAGAACAACCCATCTGACACATGAGGTTGTAAGGTTGAGGACGGGTCACCAAATACCAATTGGTTTCATTTTAAATCAGAGAATTTCCATGGCAAAGTGTTCTCACCTGTTAACATTTTCAAGGATTGCTTGCTAACATGTAAAAATAACATTTAAATCTGCAATAAGTTGTTAAGAAATGGATTTTAGTCTACATTTTCTACAGCAGATGTCTTCCTGATAAGCAAAATGTAGACAACAAAGAGATTTTTTGGCAACCTTGCAATTCATAATGTGTTCCAACTGATCTATGGAACATTATTGATTGCAGTTTTGAATCCTTAATAAAGGGCGCCTGATGTTTTGAATATGGTCAACCCTTTATACTGTACTTGTATCTCAGATACCGGGAAATTAAACCAAGTCGACATCTGTTAGTTAACACTTAACTACAGCTTTGGACCCTTTAAATTATGTAATTAAACTGATCTTTAAATGTTATGCTGCAGTATAAAGCTCGTCCCATGTAATTAATTCCACCACGCTAAGTTCTTACGCATTAATGAGACTTCCTCATCTGTGTGTGTGTGTGTTGGTGTGTGTGATCAGTGACCTTTGTCTTATGGGGTTAATGCTTTCAGCGTGTGCAGTGTCTTTTCTATAATCAGTTGAATTCCTGTCGTGCATCAACCATTAGTTCACTCTGTGTATGAGAGTAAATTCACTGTCGAGAGAAACCACATCCTGAGCCAATATACTTTCATCAGTTTTCAGTAGCAGCAGTGATGGAATCAAGTCTACAAGGGCAGAGCATCTCCTTCAATCACCACGCAGGTTATAGTAACACAGCATGCTGCCTTCCTTTTCCAGCCGTATAGCTGTGTTTGTTTACTGAAGTGCTGCTTCTCCGGAGCATCTATCAGGGAAGAGGAAGAGCCACAGCGAGCTTCTGGACTACAAAGACGAAAGGAAGAAAGAACAAAAAAAAAGACGAACTGCCCGCAGCCTGTCAGATCCAGTCGAAGCGACCCGAGGATATTTCCAGGCGTCAATCTGAAGGCTCTCGGAGCAGGAGTCGGCTGCAAACAGCCGCAGCATGCACGGCTAACTGGGCTGCCTGTGTCACACGGCTGTATGAACACGTTAACAAGACGGCAGCAAAGAGGGACACAGTATGATGGCCGCTGCAAGGCACGAAAATAATGATTCCAGCTAAAAAGTCAGCCTGTGGACACTTCAAAGTCCTGAGCAGATTTGGGATTTCCATGCCTAAAAATTACCTTTGAAGCAATTAAGCTGGCAGAATTTCTGCTTCAGGAACACCTCATGATAATTGCACTGTCAGATTTTAGCCTTTGTTCTAGATCTTCCCAAATTTCTATTTTTATCCTCACATGCTCACCAAAGGAAAAAATCTACCGTTCAAAATCCGTGATAGAACATTCATAGAGGCCTACAGACCATTCCAGCCTCTCTGTCAGTGTGAAAGTAGGCCATGGGCTTCAGAGACGGTGAAGGAGGAATGATGTAACCAGGGACCTACATGTGTATGTTGTTTGCTCCCCGGAGCTTTGCAGCATTCAGACGCTGATCAAGACTTCTTGCCAAGCATATGAATCTAGGATTCATTATTGTCCAACAACAGATATTTTTATGTCTCTGTGGATTAAAATATAGAATCTGCTTTACGTTTACAGTAATTTTCCTGATTTCATAGAGTTTATTCGTTATAATTCATACAGTTTTGATCTCCCGTTTCTAATTTTCTTCTTCTCAAGTATATATATGTCTATACATATATATAGATTCATATATATATGATATTAATCTTGCCCTCTCCTCTTTTCTTGATGTTAATTAACTAGACTACCTTCCCAGAGGGTCCTCTGGTGAAGGCTATTTTTGTCCCTGTGCTCCTTATCGCATGAACTAATGCCTCACTGTGGTGCAACATACATCTCAGCTCCTTTTGTCACGAGGATGCGATGATGCATGTGAAACACTGTCTGCCTGCGACTCTGAGCATCACTGCCGTCTGCTACTATCATGGGAGGCAGCATTCATTAACATAAAGGCTTTTAAACACAAATGATGTCTCAACAGGTGACGTTGCAGTGGAATGGCACTGAAACAGTACTTAATGCAGAGTTAGAGAAGGTTGTTTTGGGCTGGTTTTGGAATAGGAACATTTAATGAAATAATATAATTTCAACAATTTTTGCTTTATTTGATTGTTTATATTTCGTACCACTTTATGACTTATACACTCTCTAACATTTCATAGAAAAATATTCCACTGTTTTACTCCACTGCTGTATTTGAGAGCTGTAGTTACTTTACAAATTAACACATATGTAATTTGATGCGTCGTTATCAGCCAACCTACAATATCAAAGACAGAAAAGATCATTTTTATAAAACAGTCCATCAACTAGAATTACCACCACCAGCCAGTCAAGTTGCATCTTGCATTGATGCATGTACAGACTCATATCATATGCTGTATGTAGTGAAGACTTTGAAGTGTGCTGATCATCGAGAGAACAAAAACAGATTCCGCGTATGAGTTCACATACTCGGCCGATAACGCAGATTCTAATCGAACGCTAAGTTGTTGCCATGACATTGCTGCAAAATATATAAATAAATAAATGCTACAAATTCTAAAACAAGGATGCATCACACACATCTCGAACCTGGTGGCACAGAACGTCACCTCAGTTTCATGGTGGGAACCTGAGATTTATGTCACCAATTCAGTGTCTGACCAAATGTGAAAGATGGACACAATCTGCCCTTCTGTTCCTGAGTTATGGTGTTTTGAACAACAGCCGGAAAAGTATCTTTTGCACAACATTGCAATGTCACAGGGAAGTTGACGTTTGACATTTTGCATAGAAAAGGTCATCGCTTCATCGTTTAATCCTGTTAGACATCTGTGTGAAATTTTTTTTATCATAAATAGCCTCTGAATTCTTGAATTTGGACAAAGAAGTGTTTTGTGAGGTCATAGTGATCTTTGACCACCAAAATCTGACCCATTAGTTGTTAAGTCCAAGTGAACATTTTAGCTGAAATTGAAGAAATTCTCTCCTAGTGTTAAAGAAAAACAAATGGATGTATATTTGTTTTATGCAAAATATAAAATTGGCCATTTTTAAAGTGAGCTATGTGCCATGCTACCTTTCAGAGAGCCACGTTAGCTGTTTCTGCTTGTTTCCAATGCAAGTTATGCAAACCCACTGCCAGCTATAGCTTCCTACTAAACTTGCAGATATTAGAGAAGTATTGCTACTCTCATCTGCTTCTCGGTTTTTACATCAGTGAATTCTTCCAGTGTTGCATTACTATGCAAGCAAACTATCTTAGTACCACCACTGGTAATCTCCTCCAAGCAGGTAATGGTTTCATTGCTGTTTGTTTGTCAGCATGATTACACATCAATTAAATTCAGCCAGCCTGAATTTTCGCGAGGTGGAGCATAGCCAAAGGAAGAACCCATTAAATTTTGGTGCGGATCCAGATCACTTTCTTTAAAACTCCAAGATAGGGCCTCGGCGGACGTCTGCGCTCTCTGGATGTCCTTCTTGTCGGCATATGTGAATTAGCATAATCTAACCGCACTTTTTATTTTTGGTTTTGTTTTCTCTTCCAGTCTCCCAGTCCAACAGCAGCCTAAAGAAACACCGGAGTCGGAGCATTTTCAGCCCCTTCTTCTGCTGCTTCCGCAACTACAATGACTACCACGTGGAGCCACCACCCGCCAACAACAAGACACTTTCTCTGCCCCCGCCGCCGGAGGAGAATGGCAGCCCTCCCAAGGTAAATCTCATTTTTCTCTCTTGTCATGGTTGGCCAGAGTCCAAATTCCATTCCATTTACATCCACATGATGGGGAAAAAAAAACCTTGTGGGAATTAGTTAATATTTCATGACAGAAGTTCTAGTTGGACTGGTGCGATTCAGTAAGGAGTAACGTCTGTTTGGTTTTGTTACAGAGAGCTTGTTAGGGTTTGCCTTTTCCTGCAGAGAGCTGAGGCCGAGGCGCTGCGCAGCCTCGCCGAGTTCCCTCCACAAATTTTTCCAGCTGCTTCAAACCCGTTGAACCCAGAGGTTGTTTACCATCCACTGCTTGAAAATACGGGCCCGCGTCCCATCTTGCATTCTTCGATATCTGCCTACGCACACAACCGCACACAAAATAACACACTGAGAAGCTCCAAAGACACGCACGCGCTCGCTCTTTTCTCTTTGCGCAAGTCCTGCCGCAGACCCATGACAACACATGTAAGGGCGCACACATGGACTCGGGACTGCCGCTCCTCTAATCCCCATAAAGTGGGCCTTGTGTGTGTCCGGTGTGATGGATTGCCTGGCACCCACGCCTCCCCCTCTCCTCACGCACACTCTGACCAGTGTAGTGAGGATGTGTGAAGAGAACGTTCTGGCTGTGGAAAAGGCGCCAAACCCCCCGAAGCTCCTCCACAAACACGGTGTTCAGCTGCCAAGGCAGGTACACGGGGCTAAAAATGGAGCAGAATCGTATCACATTTCCACTCCTGTTTACCTGTAAAAGTCTCTCGTTCAGGGGAGGAATGTGTGGCCCTTCACGGACACCGTACATGTGGTCAGTACTGACCCGCTACGGACCTCTCCTTAACAAATGAGTTCCCATTAATTTAGAGTGAACCTCGCGAACCTTGCCATAAAAAGCCTTGTTATAGAGTGAGGCTGATTTTCGAGCTGGGCCCGTGCCCACGGTCCCTCCCAGCAGTGTACTGTTGCTGGATTTCTGGCCAGTCGTATTTGTTACTATGGCAGCTCTGTTTGTTTTTCAGCGAGTTGTTCTCACTTTCTCTCACCGTGTGCTCACTATACGTCCCTCTTCCTCTGTCCCTCTCCCTCCTTCTCTCGCTGTGCATTTGTTGATTAGAATATTGATGTTGTCGATTTCTTCCTTGCAACGGTTTTTCACAGTTTTTCTTTTGCTTCCTTGTTCCTTTTTTTTTTTTTTCTTTCTTTTTAATCCCACCCTGTCTCTCTCAATCTCTTTCTTTCTTTCTCTCTTTTCTCTCTGTTTACTTTCTCCAGTGTGACCAGGTCCAGGTCATCCCCATACCCAGTGTATGTATTATTATCTTTCATTTTTCTTCATCTCGCTCCATCACAGTAACCTCCTCTCCCTGCTTGCTGTGCTTCATCATTCTAGCTGCATGTGGCTGTTGACACAGAGGTGATTTTTCTTTGCTGTCAGGTGAAATTTTGCACTGTCCCTTTTTATATGATCATGTGGCTTTCCTTTGTGCCGCTTCCCCCTCACACGACTGATAGAGTCCATTTATTATCACATGATTAATTTGTGGTTTTGTCCTCTCGTCCTTTTCTAACGTTACTCTCCAATCATTAGAAGAGAACATGAGATTGATTTTCCTATTAGATCAAATTTACCCAGTCCTACATTAGACCTTTCCATCGACAGTTTGGGTCAGCAAACGGATAACTTGCCCTTAAAAGACTTGATTAAATTACGCATTTGTCTGTGTAGAGAATGATTACATTGTGATTATGCAATCAGTGGTCAATGAACTGCTGTTAGTCCATTAGAAGGGAGTTTGGTTTCAACGATTTGTACTTCACCAGACGTTCAACAGAAAGAGGGGCTTTATCTGATCCCTGCTTTGTTTGTGCTGAAACTGCAATTCATTTAGCTATTTTGGAATCTATGTGGTGCCTGTGGTTTACTGTAATTTAGGATATTCACACTCACAGCATCCCACATCGCAGCCAAGGTTTAAACTACACCACACAGCAGACACCTCCCTTCAATAGCAGGAAATGCATGTGGCGAGGAGGTCTGCTCTTTGTCTTGCCGGCTGGGACTAAAACGAGGACTGTGAAGGGTGACTTAAATAACTCGAGCTGACCTGTGCAGGTCACGTCTGAGTCACTCGTCACTGGAACGCAGCCCTGAAAGCAACATCACAAAAGTAGAAGAAACGAGGCATCACCGCGAGTTGTCGTTAGGCTCTTTGCCGTATGCAAAAATAGCAAAATGCCGAGAATCACAGCAGCAAGCAGAGTCGCTACAGCGCATCAAAAGGCAAAAGCTTTTTAACCACAAAATCTAAATCTCATCAAAAAATACAGAAAGGAAAATACAAGGCATTGCACATAAGATAAGATCAGATAAACCTGTATCAATCCCATGGTGGGAACATTTGCAGCGTTACAGCAGCAAAAGGGGGCAGTGCGAATGTGTAAGAAAAAGTTAGTAGAAAATAAAAACAGACAAAAAATGAGACAGATGTACAGATTCTTTCATGTGTGGATATTCAGATGTTGCAAAGAAAAAAAAATCTAAGTTGAAAACAACAATGTTGCTCACATTAAGGGCGTAGTGCAGATTCTTTATCAATTAGTAGATAATCCAAAAAAAAAGAGTTGTTGATGAAAGCCCCCAGAAAAGCAGCTCTCCAAAACACGGCACTCCAAAATCAAAATTAAAACATTTAAATAGAAAGGTTTTCTCCAAGCTCTACGAGAACTGCCAAAGTGAAGAGCAGGCCCAGTGGCCCTCAGATCATTTTTTAGACTCTTGTTTTTTTTTTTACCCAGAAAATAAGGCTTCCTTTTCTTTTCCTTTTCTTTATTTTATTTTTGAAACTTTGATATTGAGGTTTTTAATGTGCAGAGTTTTCACATAGACAAAAAAAATAACAAACTGTATAAATTTACTTTAATTTTCCCCATTTAGCGTTTATTACCTCACTACGATGTGGGATATAAACTATTTAATATGACTTTGTTTATTAATGTATTTGATAAGAAATGTCACCTTAAGTATTTGTAACTGCAATTTGGAAATATTATGTCAACAACTTCTTAATCTAATACAGAATGACTTGCACCACTTATTGCCACATCTCATAGTCAATTAGTTATATTAATTTTTGTAATTATGTTAAGTATTTAATAAGTGGAATGAAAAAGAGCAACCATTTCTCTTCTTTATATGACACTTAAACACATTTTGCGCCTATATTTCACAAAATATTTAGATTATATGAAAAAATCTGTGTAATAAATTAGTTTTGTTGTCTTCCCCACTTCATTAAAACTACAATCAAGTCGTGTGACAAAACCAAGTAACAAAAACTGTACAAATTAAGAGGGTGGATATAAGAAACATATTAAGGGAGCAATGAAATACAAACATAAAAGGATAAAGACAAACAAAACAAAATGTTGTCCTGATAATTGAATTTGGTTTGATTTTGAAGTTCTTCTATATATTCTATACAGTAAGACGAATAAAGTGATAAATATATATTTACTTTCTAACTGTTTGGTAACATAAGCAGGTTCTCTTTCTCAAATACACCTTTAAAGTAGCACATTAAGTCTCAACCTGGTATACGGGGACCTTGACGAATTACGGGGACATAATGGGATTTCGAATTTAACTCAGACTCCCCAAAAAAACAATTTAAAAAGTGTTTTTCTGTGTCTATTTATTTAAGAGGCACCACCATGTTCTCAGTTAGCATGATACGCCGTAGTTAAACGTAATCTGTTTGGAAGAGCGCCCCCTGGCTGTGACTGTAAGCTATTTTAAGTCAGTGTAGCTGCCTGGTGAAAATGTCAAGGTCCCAGTCAGTCTTCTTCTTTGTTTAACCTGAAGGTTTAAATCACATTCATCACAGCCTGACAGGATGTCATTCAGTGTCCTTGCTCAAAGGGAATTCTTCCTGTGATACATCAGCATGCAGTCCTGCGATAAGACATGATAAATACAGTCAGCCGACACACACTAAAACACAGACATATGCAGAAAAGGCCTGGCTTACCGAGCAGCAGCGGCTCAGTGTAAGATTGACAGAGTCCTTCTTCCTCACCTCTGTGTGGATTTGTGCGTCAGCCTATGGACGTATGTGTGCATGGATGTACGTGTGTGTTCGGTGTGAGTGTTTGCCCCCCCCTATGGCTGAACCATCTGCCCCGTGCCCGTCGGTAACCTCAGGCCCACTTGGCAGAGGACATTAGTGTTTCTCCTTTTCCCCTCTGACCCTGAAGGCAGCACAGTCACGGAGCTCAGTCAACATGAGGTAATACAGAAAAAAATCAGCAGGTACTCTGACTGTAAAGCAGCAGTAAAAGTAGGCCTGTCGCTTTAAATACTATCAGCTGAGGAAATAACTCCTCGCTTTGTATGTGATGGCATTTAGCTAGACATCAGGCATCACATCTTTTAGACAGATTAACGTATTGTTGGTACTTTTGGTCCTTCCAGGGAAAGCGTTGGAAAGCATTAGTGGGACAGACATCACGGTCAAGCAGAGACAATTAGTGCACTTTTGACTGATAAAGGTTGGTCAAACGTGTTCATACAATTTGGCTGCTCAATTAACCTTCTGAACCCTAAGCAGTTTCTGGGTCTTTTTGCCCCTGTCACATTTTTGCTCACTTTTGGCTCATTTTTCACTGCAACATTCAGTCCTGCACCTCTGTGGAAACGGCACAGCCATGGTTAGACGTAGAGAGAACTCAAAATGTCTTCTGCTCAGTGTTATATTGCCATTAAAAAATATTAGGGTAGAATTAATTTGATTATTTATTTTACAATACTGGGAGGGAAAAAACCCCTGGAAGCAACATGTACAATATTTTTCCAAGTGCTCCAGGTGTTGCCAGTCGTGGACAAACATGATGACTCAACAAACTATAATTACTTTTTCCCTTGTCTCGTTTTTCTTTAAACACAGCCTGCAGTTCAGCCCAGTTTAGGCGAATCTTCCCTATATTTCTGTCACATAACTTTTGTTTTTTAGAGAATCTGATTTTTAAAAATGCACTGGGTAGATTATAGTGACTTTGATGAACTCTATGATGTTAAACAGTTTTAAAGTGTCTGTGGATAGCGGCACATCACAGATAAATAGTTCAAGGACCACTGGAAAGTGGAAAATTCTGTGATTCTTTCTGTTTTTACTGTTTCTACTGCTGATAAATCGTGTCAGTTGGGATTTTTGAAGAACACTACATGCATTTTTAAACTTGCTGGAAGGTTTTTGGGGTTCAGAGGGTTACTACAGCATATGGACATGCAATAAATCAGACGCAAAATCATACTGCGTTAAAATCCTCTCCATGCATCTACTTTTTTTTAACAACATTTTTGTTTAAAAGTTTCATGTCATATAGGTCTGTCACAGCATCAGATTGTCACTACGTGGTTATTATAGTCAAAAGAATTTACAGTAATAATGTCACCACGACATATAAAGAAAAAAAATAAAGCTATCAGTCACATTTTTTTAGAACTTTACAAATGAATTTCACTCAAAAGTTGATGTGGCAGAGTCTATAACCAGAACCGTACTGTATGTTGCTCCTGTGTTGGCACTGGATCCTGGTTTTAACCAACTTACCCACTCTGAAAGTAGTGTCCAAGAATAAAAGGACTACAATCAAGTTATTTTAAGGACTCATCAAAATCACAAAGAAGTTTCATGCCATTGTTGTATTGGCACATTTCTCAGCGGTACAGTCAAACCTCAACAGAAGCTAATGGACACCCTCCTGCAGGTCATTAATCCTGTTAAGTGTTTCTTGAGTGTCACTGGAAGCAGCCAACGTGATCATGTCCAACACTCTGACTGAGTCGCCATCACACCCTCAGTGTGTGTGTGTCGGGGAGAGTGAGCGTTACAGCCTGTTCCCTCTAATGTACCGCTGTTTATACATAGCATTATAAAGCGTGTGTGTTGTCTCTGCAGCCTCCAGCCAAGTTCCTTCTGCCGGAGGTCAGTATAGCCGACTACGGCAAGAACTGCGTGGTGATCGACCTGGACGAAACCCTTGTGCACAGCTCCTTCAAGGTACGGCACTCACTGCATGACCTTTTGTTGACATACAAACACATAATGCACCTTTAAATACACCGACAGTCATGCTATGTCTGGGCTGTATGTCATGCTGTGTAAGATCGTACAGGAATCAATCCAGAAAAAGTCTTTTTTTTGCTGTGAACATGGCACGAGCTCCGTTAGCATCACTGAACTACGAATAATCGCAACAATCTACGTCCTTGGGAGTGTTATGGCTTTAAAACATCAGTTACAACAGGAAAGGGCAAGAAAGAGACCTAACTGTTACTATTACAAGGTGTCGGCATAGCAACCGATACACCTTTAGCAGCCGTGCGCCCTGCGATTCATCATCAGCCAATCCACTTATTAAGCAGGAAGTATCTACAGTATCGCCGCCGTCCTGTGAAAAGCAGGTATTTTAAGTATCCCGGCTTTTCACAAGCTACTGTAAACGGTCTTGAGTTTTACCTCAAGGCTATAAAGCAAATGGAGTCTTTTTGATGTGTCGACCCTCGCAATAAATCTGGACAGAAAGCTTCCAAGGATTATTATAATCTTGGACTGCCAGGCTGCTTTGAAAGTAAGTTTGCACTGTTTTTTTTTTTTTAGGGTTTCTGCTGCATAGTCTGCTGTGCATTTTAAATGGATCGGGACCTTGTTTTTTTCAAACAGTGACTGAAAAGATGATCTATAGATACACATCTAATCATTTTGCTAGCTGTCCACACATGTTCTACAGTATCCCAAACATCGATATAGGTGTCATTGGAATATTGGGGGTCACACAATAAATGTTTCTTTCAGGAAATGTTATGCACCAGACACTTCATTTCCTGCATTCCGATGAATTTTTATGTACCCTTGTGTATCCTTTTCTGCATCGATTTATGGTGGGAATGTTCTATTCATGTCGAGAAAAATACAGAATTCAGGCACCAGTTGACAAATCCAAATGTCATGAAATATATATGGATGTAGCTACATTTTCCACAATAAATTTTGTGGTTTAATGAGGTCATAGTACATATTTTTGGGGGTAAAGTGCGGAAGAAAGAAGACCAGCCCCTTGCAAGAAGTCTTCTGCTTCTTCTATGTTTCATTGGGTGGCAGAAATGCTGAAGGCGACGTGTCCCCTGCTTCCACAATGTACATGTGATCACAAACATCAGCAGGATACATGAAACTTCTGGACTTCATTTAAAGGTTTCCTTTGGACTTCGAAGTACAAAAATTCTCCCAAAGGCCTGAAACACAAATCATTTTCTTACTACGAATGATGAACTCCTACATGAACACAACCGGCTTTGACTATGTCATGAGAAATCTCTTAATTAGTATTTTTGTCTGCACTCGCTCGTCTTCTCGCTGGTTCGAAGTGGGCAGAATCTGATCTAATCATAAACTCTAATAACAGCCGGTGGGTGTGTGGTCACTACCAGTCAAATCAGATCAAACCACACCCACACAATCCTCCGGTAAATTATCCTGCACTCACGTTTTCAGGAGGTTTGATGGGCTTTGTAGACTTATTTCTCCATCCCTAAGCTTCAAACTTAAAATGTGCACATGCATGGTTGGTTTTGGCAACTTGATACAACTACTTGTAGTGCTGGAAATCCTTAGTGTGTTTTCTCTCAAGCCTGGGATGCAGGAGTGCCAGATATAATTGTGCTGATTAAATATGTCAAACAAACTGGTTATTTAAGGCTGGAAAATGTAAAAAAGTTAATGTGCCGTATATATTATACCACAGATGTAGAGATATTTCCAGCTCTCAGATATGTTAGAAATGCTTTTTATAGTGTTTCTGCTCTGCTGCAGACACTCAAAGAGAAAAGGCCAGTATGCTGGGCAGCTCTGCACTACCCTCTCTGTTGTATCTGTCCATCAAACCCTCCCTTCATTGACACACCTGGCACACCTAGTGACCCACTTCAGCACAGGTCCGCCTCGGCCCCAGCTGATCTGTGCCTGAGTGCTTTTGTCCTCTGCATGAGTGCGGCTGAGATGAGAAGGCCAGAGAGGGCGTGCAGCAGAATAGCTCAAGGCAAAGCTGAAGAACTTCTAGTTGTATTGGCAGCAAAGGGGGAACTTCTTCTAATCAGAATAACTGCAGAGAGAAACATTTTTTCAGTACATGTTCATATGACTAAGAGCTAATTCCTCATTTTCTGTGGAAATTCGAAGGAAGAGAAAAAAAATGTACACATGCACACAGCAGCGGACACACCCATTAGGATCACATGGCAGCAGTGCAGGGCCACACACACTCACCCACACACAAGGGTGTGTCCGCTACAGTGTACTGTTGCCTTGAATGACTGCGGGATGAAATTCGCAGAAATCTTGGATGTGTTCTAATAGTCTGAAGGGTTTTTATTTTCTTCACTGCCAAAACCGAGTCAGAAACCCCATACAGGAGCTCCTTCTTTCTTTTTATTTTTTCTACCCCCCTCTCTTTTGATGAAACTCACACACAGTGGATACTCAGTCTATCAAAATTCATTTAGCTCAGAGATGAGTATGCAGTATGAAATGGATTCCGGCAACGCAATAAATGAAAATCAGTTGGGAGAGGAAAGAGAGGGAGACGGAAAGCGACACACCAGCGCAGCGTTTTCAGTTCCGTTCAGAACCGTGCAGGATTTCCTGCAGATTTCCTGTTTGGACTTCATTTTTCGAATCAAAAATATTAAGCACTTTATCTCTAATATGCACACGTCAACGCTAGAACTGGACCGATAGCGCAGAAAAACAACTTGAACCGACAAGGGGCACAGACGACGCACAGATGGACATAGACTAAAAAAGAAATGTTACATAACACGTCACATACTCTACGCTTTATCCTGCATGTTATGGATGAGGAGATAATTCCTGGGCCTGGCTGGGATTAGATCCAGTATGTGTTAGATGTGTGCAAGTAGCTGAAAGGATAGACCATATACTGTATAACCACATGAGTAATGTGTACTTATATAGCACCTCTCAAAAAAAACATCCCAACACGTGGACATGCTGTCTTTAGATGTGATTTCTGAACATCTGATTGCAAAATGATGGCGACTGTAGACAATATTTTGAGTCCTGGCTGCACAAATGTGTAGGTACATGAGCATTAGGGAGGTAGGATATTGATGTCGGTGATAAGACCTGTTTTGCACTTTGTGTTTTCGTTCATCTTAAATTAAAGTCAGCGTTCTGTGTGAGCCAATCATCCACTTCTTGAGCACTAAACAGAAAACCAGTGACTTAAAGAACAGACAGACTTGGCATTGGCAGCTTAAAATGTTGCTAGAAGTTGGAATTTTCATGCTGTAGCAATACAGTTCACTAGAAATAAGAGGGCACAGAGCCAAAACGTGACGCACAAATTGCCCAGACGTAGAAGTTAGGCCTGCTACTGTGAGGTTAAAATCTGTTTTAACAGAATGAATAAAGGCTTCAACAATTAGTCGATTAAATGAAAGGAAATTAATTAATTCTTTTTGTGGCAAAAATCACTGCTTCCACTTTTTAGTGGAAATAACATTATGTCGGGAATGTCTATAGATTGTGAAGTAATAGTTGGACAAAACAAAATGATTTTTTCTTTTTTTTAAGAACATTCTGACAAAAGCAAATAATTTAGTACTAGTAATAGATAAAGCAGGCATCAGTTGCTGTCCTAAAAGACTTCTGATGCACTTTACTTTACCTAAGGATGATTAAATAACATTGTCTGTGCACAGATTTGTGTCCATATATTGCACAAATTCACCGTGTGCATCCTAAACAAAAGCTAGTCGTTAAAATTCGTTTTCAGACTCACTTTAAGAGATGAGCTGAGGCAGGTTTGGACAATAATGCTCGATGATTAAGGAAAGGTATGTATGTAAAGTCAACACCGAGCCGGAACCGGAGCGAGATCAGAGAGTGAAACAACCCAGAACAAGTTCCCTCCATCAACTCTGTCGGCCTTCTGTGGTTCAGCAGAGATCCATAATACATAACACTCTCCCTTCTCATCATTTACTCCACACATACATCCCCCTCTTGTCCTTCCCCATTTCCATATCTCTCGTCGTCTCTGGCCCATTACGGAGCAGGGCGATGAGCAGCTGTTGTATGCTCACTCTTCAAATGATGGAGTGATTCAGCAGAAGAGCAATAGGCAGAAGAGCAGACAGTCTCCCTCATCCATCTGTGTGACTCTCTCTTCTCTTTCCATTCTTTCTCTCTGCGATGGTAGGAGTTATGCAGCCTGTTTGTTCTCCTTTCCTGCGAGCCGTCGGTTCGCCTCATTATTTTTAGACGGCTTCGGTCTTTGTGTTCTCTGGTGTAAACATTAACCGTAGCTGAATATTGCAAAACCCGATGTATAGCAGGAGCCCCCGTCTATCTTGGGAGGGATCGCGAGGCTTTGATTGTGAATTGACTCACTCTTGCATCACATAAAGAAACCGAAGATCTCGAGTGGGTGATAATGGTCATATTAGGCTTTTATATATAGACTATTAGACGGATTATACAAGTGACATGTGGAAGGTCAAAGTGCTGTGCTTAGCATTCCTACAGCAAACACCCCCTCTGCTGGATGCCGCTGAACTGCGCCTTCTAACTGGAGTTTTACGCTTGAAGGCATTTACATACAGTACAAACACTGGGTTATATTTATGTTATATTAAAAATGTTTAAATGGTTTTATGGAAGTAGGAGAGTGTCATTTTAACACCTGAGGACAAGTCTGCCCTAAAAAACCCCAACAAGGAACAATTACCTCCTCATTTAGCATTTATAAGCAGCATATAAATAAATAACAAGTTTAAAAAATGGTTTGTACAGACTATAGTGTAGTTTTACATACTTATGGAAGCATTACAAGACTTTATTATCCCCTTTTTGTATCATTGTAGTGTTTTTTCAAGCTTTTTTTTGGGAAACTATTCATATGGCTTACTTCCTATAAATGCTAAAAACAAGGAAGTGAAAAAAATCTGTAGCTAAAGTGCAACTTTTTAAAAAAATGTTTTGCCTTAAACTGAGTTAAAAGCAGAATTTTTTGACGTATGGTTCACTATATAATAATTATCAAGCTATAGAAATGTGTAGATAAAAGAAAAAGTATGTAAAATTAGCAAGACACATGCAACAAAAGCGAAATAAAAACAAACTGCAGCAGCTAACCTCCAGCTAGTTAAAGCTAGCAGCTAGCTGGAGTGCATTAGCTCCAGCTAAAGCTAATGGCCTTTTTGCTGGAGTTGATGAATGATTTCTGATGCGCCAACATCTTTGTAGCTGCGTTTGTTGTACTACATTATTAAGGCAGAAGCTAATTATATATTATGCCGGTATAAAAGCAACACCACATAAACAAGTCCGCTAATTAGCCTAGCTTGGATGTTCTTTCTTCAAACACAGAGGACAACATCTGATTTTATCTGCCAGTTTTGTCGTGGGGAAATAAGGGGGGTAATTATAATAAAAGCCTTTTTTTTTACTACTTATATTGTAATGCTGTACATATTTTAGTGTCTTTAAACCTCAAACTTCAAACCATTTCTTTTAACTTTACTGTTTGTGTAGCTGCTAATGTCTGACTGCAGGCAGAATGTGAGCTTATTTCAGGAAGTCGTCTTTTCTAAACATCGCTTTACCAAGGACTAATGTTTTTGCAGATTTTTTTGCATTCTTGAAGTTTAAACCATTGAATTAGAGTCAATTCAACTTACAAAGTGATACTACTAAATAATCCTCCATTCTTTTTCTTTCTGTTCTGCAAACTATCCAAACGGGTGACAGCTAAGCTCCTACAGAAGAGCTTTTCTTTGTGTTTCTGAAAACGCACAGCAACATTTTTTATTTTTTTTCTCTCTCCGTCACCTATTTTCCCTTCTCTCCCTCTCTGAAATGACACTGCCGTGCCTCCTACCTAATCCTTTCATCCTCGTCTTTACGCCCTCTGCTTGTCTTCCACCCACACCCCTCTGGCATCTATCTTCCTCTACCTCCTGCACCTCTCCTCTCCCCCTTTTTCCTGCTTTAAAAAAAAATGACACAAGTCGCGCAGAGAAAATGGCAGCGCTACTCCTTGTCCGCGCTCACGTCTTGTCATTTTCGCTCGGCTCCCAGGTTTCTCCCCGGAGTCTTACTTCTGGTTTTTATTTAACGCTGAGATGCCGAGCGCCGGTGCAGAGGGAACCACATTATGCTTGAAGCCTTCATCGTTTTGCCTGGGGCACCTTGCAGGAGTATTTTATCTTCCTCTCCTTTTGAAATAGAATTCGGGCATGTGGCTGGGCTGTTTCTGTGTCAGATTGTGCTGTTTTGAGCAAAAAAAACAAGAAAAAAACAAGCAAAATTACTCACATTTTCAATCTTTTTCTTGTCTTCCTGCAGCCCATCAGCAATGCAGACTTCATCGTTCCAGTGGAGATTGATGGCACTGTTCATCAGGTAATACTGCACTGACATGGAGGGATTCCAGAAGTGGGCTTGAATTAAATAATACGTATTAATTTATAAGGGCTCCCATGGAGTCCTTGGCTTCTCTCCTTCTCTATTCAATATTCCTTATTATCTCACAGTGAAACACATCAAACACTTTAGTGCTGTTTGTTTTATCCTGTAAAGATGGATGAGCCGCGACGTGACTGTGTCCCCACATGCCATGTTGAAGATGCAGATGAGTGGAAATGCGCGAGACATGAAATTGAAATCACCTGCAAGAGATTCGTTCATTCATGTTGAATTTCTTCGTCCCGTTTGAAGCAGAAGAAGCCATATTGTGGCTGCAACCTGGTTCAAGTAATCCAGGATAGGCTTTCTGCATCTGCTTTGGCCTATGCTTGATTACTTGCACTGGGAGGCAGCAGCTAACCAGCAGAGACCTGCAGAGAGGAAGAAGACAGAAATGACAAATGATGGATGGATGGATAGAAAATGGATGGATGGATGTTTTGCAGAAGTTGAAAACCTGGAATCAACCCTTCACATTATTTTATCTGCACTTTACAAATACCGAAAAAAGAAAAGGTGACTCTACAAACTATAGATATTTTTAAAAACAAAAAAATCCCTGAATTTTTTTTAAATGGCTATTGGTTGCAGTTGAGTCACCATTTACTTCCTACCTGTGCCGTGGAGTGTAAAGGTTTTAGTTTTTTACAGAATATGTTTGATTCAAAATGTTGACTTTTTGCAATTTTCTAAATGAGGCATGTAGAATACAATGATTTTGCTGAAATACCATAATTTTAGATTTTCTTCTTCAGTCGGGGTTTCAGACAGAGCAGCATGTCGCAGATGAGTAGTTCAAGAACCGTCTGAAAGTTGAAAATCTGAGGATTCTTTCTGTTTCTACAGTTTCTGGATGTGATAAATGGTTTAATGTTTGTGTTTATCTAAAGACAACATGCCTTTCAAACCTGCTGCTGGGTTTTGTGACAGAAGTTTTCAGTGTTTCATGTTGTCATTATCACAAGCAACCATATGACAACTTTTCTTCAACACAAACCTAAAAGTTTCTTATTTTTATATAAAACCTGGTACTAAATGATCAAAGGATTTCAAACCTGAGCAGACATTTGTTGCTAGCTTTTGGTTCTTTGCATTGTTTGATATTTTCAAGCACATTTTGTTCCAACGTCTCAAGCTCAGCCAAGGAATTTTAAATCTGTGTTTGCTTGTGTCTCCTGGTTTCAGGTGTACGTGTTGAAGAGGCCCCATGTGGACGAGTTCCTCCAGAAGATGGGAGAATTGTTTGAATGTGTCCTCTTTACAGCAAGCTTAGCCAAGGTAGGTTTCTCAGCTTGTGTCTCCGCTTTGACAGTCACAGTAATGATTTGCTGCATCGACCTGATGGATTTTTGGTCTGTTTAGTATGCTGACCCTGTGGCGGACCTGCTGGACCAGTGGGGGGTGTTTCGTGCCCGGCTCTTCAGGGAATCCTGTGTTTTCCACAGAGGAAACTACGTCAAAGACCTCAGCCGGCTGGGCCGAGAGCTCAGTAAAGTCATCATCATAGACAACTCACCTGCCTCCTACATCTTCCACCCGGAGAACGCAGTAAGTCTTTCTTTTGCAGTGGTTTTGACGTAACACCTCTTATTTCCTGGGTTGTTTTTGCACATCGTATGATGGTTCCAGATCGGTGAGAAAAAGTCGGAGGTTCTGTTTAGACGGCTGAAAGAAGTATTACCTGTTAGGGATTTACAAAAAACGGCAAATTGTGAGTTTCTTCTGTCTTCTGTTGGTGTTTTGTCAGTATTTATTTCTGTTTTTGTTGATCTTAAGGTAGCAGGATGATCGACTTTGATATCAATGCAGCTGCTTTGTAAAAGAAGGCTGCAATGCCACTTTATACCTCACACATCCTGATCAAAAACAGGGTCATAGTGCGCAGTTGGAACCAAAATAAGCTACGTATGAGGTTAATAATGATGTAAATGATTACCAGCACACGATATTGTCAAAGTTTTTAATCTTGGGTGTTGTTTTTCAGCCGTAGGCAGTGTTCCCAATTTTATGAGATTCCTCTCCTCTGTGGAGAAGTTGCTCGGTGGGGCTGCTGCCACTCTTGGTGCCTTTGATCCATTTCCCCCATTAATTATTCACACAAAACTCGCACCAGCTCCTCACCTACAAAGCAGCACTTAAAAGTTTTCTCCCCTTCTCCCTCCGTTAAATTAAATCTCTCTACTTTTTCTTCCTCGCTGTGGCGTTTCCTTCTCCGCAGGTCCCAGTGCAGTCCTGGTTTGACGACATGACGGACACGGAGCTGCTGGACCTGATTCCTCTCTTTGAGGGTCTCAGTAAAGAGGAGGACGTTTACAATCTGCTACAGAGTCTGAGGAACAGGTAGCAGACGGCAGCTCCGGCTGGTGCTTCCTGCCTCGGTCCTGCTGAATAAAGAGGTCGCCTGGCTGCCGCGGCCCCTGCAGCCCGGCTCAAACCGTCCTCTGACCAGCTACGGGAGTCCCAGCGCGGCTCCCAGTCGGAGGGTTTCAGGCAAATAATCTGGTCAATATCAAACCTAGAGAGAACAACTGTAAGAATTCTTACCATCTCTGGATTCTTGGACTCTTTGTACAGGACTCTTACTGACAAAAGATTATATTACTGTATGTACATATTAAATGTTTCTAAGAGCAAGACATACACAAAGTAATTTTTCTATCAGAGAGAGGAGGTTTTACTATTCTATCAAGTAATATTTTAGTTACCAAAAACAATCAAATACACAGAACAAAGTTTTTTTTTTTGTTTTTCCTAGAATGGGTGACCGTTTTGTTCTTTTTTTTGTTGTGTGTGTTGAGCAGTGCTATGCAGGCTGTTGTTTCTCGTCTGACTTTTTTTTTTTTGTTTTCGTTCAAACAACTGTGATTTAATCTTCTCTTACAGAATGAAGTGCCTTCATTACTGTGCTGATTTTGTTGTGTTGGGTTACGGGGTGCACATTTTTATGCTGCATATTTACTCAAAATCTCCAAACGCGTATTAACTAAATCTTTAAATTGCAGTTTGAAAATGAGTCTTTGGTAACTGTCATTTAAACTGAGAAATGTGAAAAGAGTAATTCCTAGAAAATTTATAAACCTAGCCTGTTAAATGATTTTTAATTTTGAGTTTGGTAGCATTGAATTGTTAAATTTACCAAAGATTTGTACAATTCAATGTGATTTGTGGCTGAATGACATTATTTGATCCTTGACAGTGACGAAAGTGATGAAACCCCACTTTACTATTGAAAAAAAGAAAAAATTTAAATGTTTGTGATGGCATCACTGTCCACCAATAAATGTTAAACCTTTGAGGAAAATATAAAGATTAGCTTAGATTCTATGAAATTCTATTTATTGGGGAAAGGGGTGTTGGGTGAATTGTAAAGAATGCTGTTGAAATCGTACTGTACAACATTATTAAAGTTGCAAGTTTGCACACTGTCAGTGTGTATTGCAGTGTATTGACTTTGACAAAACTCAATGCTGCTATAATCAACAACATTGTGTCAAGAATGAAGTAATCAAAGGGCCAGATGTCGTGGGAAAGGTGTCGCAAACTCACAGAGACTTCCAGACTCATGTCTACATATTGAGGTCACAAACATCTTCATATGATTCACACCATTATCCAGTTAGTTCGTGGTTTAATCCAAATTTCAAACCATTATCTACATTCTAAAACTGAAATAAGGATGTCCCAACTGCGACCACCAGTTCTGCCCCTTTTGGTTAATACTTGTCAGATAGAAATCTGAATGTTTGCTTTGTGAAAACCGCTCCACCGTACTCAATTACAACAGTCAACACACAGCTGTCCACACAGCATTGTGAGCGCGTCACCTGCTGAGCCTCGAAAACGTACAAAACCGTTGATCAGCAGCGTATAATGTGAATAAGCACTGTTTTGCATTTTTTTCAGTGATAAGAAGCAACTGAGCCACACCTCAATAGTACAAATGGTTGTTGAAACGTATTTGTTATCACCGGGATTAACACTCTATGTATGATCGTATGTAGAATAAAGAAAGACAACACTGTAGAGATGATTTTGTTTTTCAAAACAGCTGTTTAACTGTAGAACATCAAAAATGCTCAACTAACTTTGATGAAGGCATAAGATGTACACTGTAGATTGTATTGTGAAGGGAAAGACACAAATGGATCGTAGTAGATGTAGTCAGGGATCTAGACATTACTATGTAATACTTGTACCTAAGAATTGCAGAATTGAAAGAGGTCATCTGGGTCACAGAGCAGACAAAGACATGTCTGCACAGATCATCAGAAACTTCATAATCTTATAATTGCTTTGATACTTGTGACACATTGTTTCATGTCTGGACAGTCAAAAGCAGATTAGGCCATAGCCTAAGGTTTATGTAAGGTTTCTAATTTCAAATAATAAAATATTGAAAGTGTTGCAGTTGTTAAAATTACAAGGTCAGTCCCCCCCAGTGACATCAGTGGATGTCCCACCAATGGAACCAATATATTTGGAAAAGGCCCTGCAGTTGTTAGCTGGATTCATCTATAAACCACAAAAAGCCAACAATAGACTAATTATCCAGCATCAAACAGCTAACTGCAGAAGCTAGCAACTAGTTGGTAAACATAGTGGAGCCTTTAGCAATGAGAAAAACATGGGTGGATACCAAAAACAGAGCTAAAACAAGAGTTCAGTGGATTTACATTCATCAGGTGATCAGAAAGAGGACTTCAAACATGTTGTTGCACCACGTCAAAATAAAGAATTCTTAACAGTTTTGTGATATCAAATTAAAAGGATTGTAGTTTTAATCAGTGTTGTTTAAGTGACAAAAAGTGATCATTACACAGGTTTAAGTGACAGTGGTGTCTTTATGCATGTTGAAACAACTTATGGAAAAACCTTATCTTAGATTGTCTCAAGTTTAAGGTTCAAAGTTTTATCTTGACCTTGGATGGATCGTTTACTACATCAGAATAAAAGATCCTTTAAGTTGCCGTTATAGAGGTTTCATTTAAACAGTAAAATCTTCAACAAAACGCGGTGTTCATCGTAGGATTGCAGATGTTTTTGGGACGTTTTAAGAAAAAGTTGTCGAGAAACATTGAAAATTCAGAATAAAAAGTCTGAACATCTGCCATGCTGCTGCTGTAACTGCTTCTACTGATGACCATGTGATATGAGCGAAAGAACAAAAGCCACGTTTAATGTTGATGTCTTAGTGTCTTTAAATGTTGAAGTTTTTTATTATTCTTTAACTTTTGAGTTATTTCCGCAGAAGTGGAGGAAACAAAACTCTTTCAACAAGTTAATAACACAACAAATGCATTTTACTTCATACCAGTTCACAGCAAACTCTAACTGTTGAGCTTTTTTATAGTAAACTTTATATTCAGGGTAATTTTAAACATGAACTTAGCACCTAAAGTCGAAAGCTGCTGAGCTTGTCTTGTGTGCAGGGTTAAATGATCTGCAGGGACATTAATTATACGAATATAAACTGGTTAATGTGCAACTAAGAGGAGCTTAGCTTCATGTGATATCTTGATGTGAACTTTTAGCTTCCGCTTACGTAGCATCCACTATAACTGCAGCCCGAGTGGATTAGGCATTACACAGTCTTTTGTTCCAGCCTGACGAATTCTTGCGTTCTTTTTCCTTCCCTCCTAACCTTCCACTTGTCCTCCCCGTTATGCAGTGAATGAAGCTCACCACATTGTTTTGACTGATTTTAGTTTCACAATGGACTCCAGGATTGAATTCAGTATTGAAAGGACGTGGTCAAAGGTAAGAAAAGCTTTATTTTTCTGTTTCGCTTGGTTTACCAGTAAACCAGGTTAGTTGTGTAACACTGTGTTCCTTGGATTCCCTTTGCAGAGATTGTGTGAACTATATAAGACAAGTGTATGAGACGTATCCCAGAACAGAGAACATCAGCAGGGAGCCTCATGCAGGATTCATGCACTGACTGCAACGTACATTAAAAGAATCTGACGGATTGTTCACATACTTTAAAAGAAAAAAAAAAATGAAGCATATGCAGGGCCTGATGATTTTGGTAGGAAACTAAAACGGCTTTGATTTTTTAAGTGTTTTAGGAGATCGTCTTTATTACTCACTTTCAGGCACTGTGAGTTCTGATATACAGGATCTGATATTTTATGGCCATCCTCAGCCATAAAAGCAACCAACCCACTTTTATTGATCTTTATTTATCTGTATCTTCATATGTTATTCAATGCTTGGCTAATGATTAACATCCATTCTGTTCGTTTAAAAAAAAAAAAAAACCCATATGCAAATCACTTTAGATACAGTGTGTTAATACATCTTCACATTTAGCAAACAAACGTAAACACAAGCTGCCAGGGCCTTCTCCGCTGGGAGATCAAAGCCCAGAGCTCTAAACCTTCAATAATGTCAAGCGTTCTTCCTCGAAGTGTGAGTAGGCACAGAATGAGAGATTGAGCCACAGAAAGCAAAAAAAAAAAAGCCTCTGATTCCTTTCCAATACCACTCAGAGCTCCTTGAGTCCAATTCCCCCATCTGCTAGTTGTAACAGTTGTGAAATGAATAATTGGTGTCAAGTGGCCCCTGTAATACCCGCTGTGCCGCTGAGGGCTCCGTCAAACGTAAACACGACTCCAGTTGGCTACTTAAAGTGCAATCAGGAGCTGGAGTGATGCTGGAGTCCATCTCAGTCGAGGGATTGTGTAAGGGGTTTTCTTGAATATCTTGAGCTTTGTCTGGCTCCCTTTTCATTCAGCCTAAAGCCGGAGTCTCCACAGCGGTGAGGAGAGGCGTACTCACTGCTGAGGTATTGTAAATATCGAGGCAGGAAATTGCAGGTGTGTTCAAACCTGGGAGTGGTGACAAATACATCCAGCCCTCCCTGCCTCAGTCACTCCAGCTTGCACAAAGGAGGAAAAGGCAGCTGTACCTTATTAGAAAGCTGATTTTAAACATAATTTCACTAATTTATCTCCACGACTTGTAGGAGACCACCAGGCCTTCACTACACCAGACTCAGCACCAGGTAAGAACCATACTTTTATATCGGTAACATCTTTATTTTCACCGTTTTGAATGGTCTCTATCCATTTCTTTTACCTGAATCACCTCAATTTAGAAGGAAAAACATCTTTATTATCATCATTGTTTAAAGGCATCCTTTGAACACACATTTTTCATGATATTTTTAAACCAACTCTACGTCATATGACCTAGAAAAAGGATGCATTTACTGTGCAGTGTTAACAAAGCTCATTGTATGTGCTGAGTGAAAGGACAGTTCAGGTTAATTGACAGAAAACCAGTCTTTCCAGTCACAGTATTGGAAGCATTGCTGGTTTCTAGTTTATCTTTTCATGAGTTTTATTTGCTCAAGTTTTTTTTTCAAATGTTCCAACGGGGTTCAGATAGCAGAGAACAATGGTTGATTCTCATTAATGACAGGGAGTTGCCATTGAAAGTCTTCAATAAGCATTAACGTGGTGGGGTCAATTAAAGAAGTGGAGAGAGAAAGTTCTCCATCTGGATTTTTGAATTTATAGATTGATAATTAAAAAATATACTAATTCAGCTATTTTTTTTAATTATAACAAATACATCAGATAAAAATAACATCTCGTTTTTAACTTAAAGTAGCTCTAATTTCATTTTTGGTTAAGAGATAAAGTTTGCTGTGTACATTTGTGTCATATTGCCACTGCTCTCTGTTTAATTTTTACTACGATATGCTGATATCCGAGTCACAATTTGACATGTGGAGTACACATACCTGCAGGGTGCGGCCTCTCCTTTGGCCACTTGACAAAGGCCATGGTCAGAAGATATGAATCCAGCACCTGGAAAATACATTTAAAAGCATGGTAGTTCATATAAATGTTAGTCTCCTGGCAGGTCACTGTTTAAACAGCACTAAACAAACTGACACAAGCTGGGCAGACTTTTTTTTAATTTGGCTTTACTGCATTGCGTATCGTTTGAATGACACAAACGACCTCCTGTTACAAATTAAAAGTCGAGTTAATAAGCAGTTAACCACACCCTCTGTCATTACGTGAATGCACGGGTCTCTTTATCCGGAGCAGCTTATTGGTGGCCGATGATACAATTAGCTATCTAACTGATTGACGCTATCTGTTCAACTGGTTGCCACTATGACTTCATTCCGGCGTCCCTGAACTCTGCTACTCCATGCTTTAGTGTTCCCTTTTGGCACACTCTTACTTTTGGCAGCTGTTCATTTTACTCGCAATAAAGCTACGGATGTACCACTTTATGTATTACATTCTACGTAAGTTCCAGCATGAGTCAGACTTTGCCTCTCAATCCTCCTCCGTCTCACACATCAAAAGCCAAATGCAGGATTTTGCAACTTCAGCCCAAGCCCTATCATTTTATTTTAAATCTCAACCCTTCCTAGTGTTTGCTCTGTGTGTGTCACCTTTATTCAGCTCCCTGAATACCAGAGCCTTGATAATATTAATGAAGGGTGTGGTTAAGATCCTGCTGGAGTCCAGCTGACCCGATCTATCTCACTTCATCTCACACCTCCCACTCCATCCATCACCGCCCAGTGAGGCCTTTTATTCCTACACCTGGGGCGACGAGTAGAGGAGGTGCGCAGCACACGATCCATGAATTATAGCTGGGTTATTTCTCTGGAGAGTAACTGCAACCACAGTTCCTCCAGCTATTTGACAATCATATCATGCATGGATCCTGTATTTGCATTCATGATATGTTGCGAGCGGCGTAACATCCCACCGAGCCTGTTTCCATACAGCGCGTCCCCGCTAAGCCTATATTCTTGGCTCAGCTGGTGATACAGTGTGTTTGCTTATCAGCGCTGTTGTTTCTGATATCTGAGTGAAGAGGCAGTTAAAGCACCCCTGATTGCAAGACTTGTATGTTGCTATGGCGCCAAGCTGACACTCATTAGGAGGATTAGAGGTGCGTTGCTGTCAGAGATCCAATCTTTTGAATTGGTTCACTTGTCATTTTAGAGACATCTGTTTTCAGTGAAAAGATAGGGAACTGGTAAGGATGAGTAGGAAGGAGAAGGAGGTCTTGAAAGTGTAATATTTTTCTGTTCAAGTACTTTGGTGGAGTCACAACTGAATGTGTGTTATCTAATGTGCTAGAAAAGCTTTGATGTATCTATTTATTCATTGTTTTTGCTAATTTTTGGAGCAGTTTTTATTTAGCAAAAAAGGCTAGGAAACATCCGTGTGTTGCAGTTTCCTTTCTGTTTTTATTTCAACACAGGGCCACCAAACCACTTTACATTACACTAAATAGCAAACAAAGTTATTGACTAGCTGGCGAACATGGTCGTGCATTTGGTTGGGTGGTGGAGACCAAACACAGAGCAAAAAGGAGATTAATATTAGTGGTTATTGTTGAACGTATGTTCATCAGATTGCTAAAAATGACGCTACATAAATGCTACTAAGAATATCTACTAACAAACTACCTGCATCAGTTTAAAAGCTTATAGGTAGTATTGTTGCCATTATGACAAGACAATCTCTTATTTTGGACTTAAATTCAAGAAGTAATGTTACTATGTGAAATAGTCCTAGTGTATGTAACAGTCCTTTATTCAAATTTATATATAAAAAAAAGTAAAATTATTATGAGAAAATAAAGTTTTAAAAGTACAAGCTCTTCTTAAGCAAAAATAATAAAGTAAATTGGGATATATATTATATTACTGGGATGTTATTATTTAAACTAATGCGGGTAATAGTTTAACACTTTTCTTTTTTACAACTTTATATGATGTTACACAAGGATATATATTCATATTTTTATATGCTCTGTATGTATAATTCCAATCTGTTAACAAAACTCGCTTTCGAATAACTAATGTGCTTCAAAAGTACAAGAGTAGTCCATGAAAAGTGGTCAATTAAAGTGTCAAGTAAAGTAATAATACCTCATAACTGTACTTAACAACAGTGCTTGAACACATGTGCTGACATTCCATAAATTATAACTCTTAAGAAGTTCGAATAGTTATTTCTCTAAGCATTCATTTCTTGTGCTTTGCCAACTTTTCCTCATGCATCTCACGCTTTACCTGTCTGTCTTCTTGTGTAAATCAAACACAGACAAATGTGATTTTCAATTTACACCTAACGAGACAGCGTCGAGTGCGATTCTCACTGTTTTTGCTTTATCTTTATGTTTGTTTCAGTTCAGCAGAACGATGAGCAGCGACAATAAAGACGCCTTTCGAAATGTCAGCCGAAAACCAGGCCTGCAGATTTGGACCATCAATGTAAGTCAGGCCTTCGTCAGCGGTGATTCAGGGATACATGTCTGAACCGGAAATCAGTTCTGAAGAAGAGTAATAAAATGGTTCCACCTTGCAAGCTGACAGGACCGGATACTTAAGTGTCTTAGATACTAAAGCTTGGATGTCTGAATCTGAGTGTGTTTTTCGAGGCTGTCTTTGGTACGCTGCAGTTTCAAGGTCAAACTGTATTCAGAGGAGAAGTTTCCTCACGATGTGTCCTCTAGAAAGATTAACTAGGACACTAAATAATAAGGATTCCTGATTTCCTGCAGCAAATAATGCACTGAACAATCTGAGCCATACATCATGAGACCAGACACAACAATCACACTTGCATAATGTACTGCTATATGGGGTGTGGCATTGTGCCTGTTGTGGTTTCTTTTCCTCGAAACTACCAACATATAATAGCTGACTGTTGGTACACAATGTAGACATACAAGTTGTGAAAAACACAAGCGGTTTCAGCAGATTGTGTCATGCAAAGCACTGAAGAGTCCGAGCCCAGCATTTGTCTGTATGCAAAAGGAGCAGCATGCCAAAATATGATTTTTGTTTGAGGTTTAAGGTGTCGTTTTCTTTATTCAGGACATGCAAATGGCTCCGGTTCCAACCCAAGGCTTTGGCAACTTTTTCGAAGGGGACTGTTACATTGTTCTATATGTGAGTACAAAACTGGCAGATTGTAACGTTGATGAGGTTCGTATGATTGCATGTGAGCAAGTATAAATCCTATGTTTTCATGTTAATTACCAGATAAAACAGAACAGGGGATCTAGCCAGTCTATTGACATCCACTACTGGATAGGAAAGACCTCCTCTCAGGATGAACAAGGCTGCGCGGCCATCTACGTCACCCAGCTGGATGAGTACCTGGGCGGGAGTCCGATCCAGCACCGGGAGGTTCAGGGCTGGGAGTCGCCTCGGTTCAAGAGCTACTTCAAAAATGGCCTGATGTGAGTCGAAGAAGGGGGGGTGGTTGGTGACCAGCTCAAGGGAAGGAGCCTCATACAAGCACTGTAATCTTTCTGAGACATGGCTTACAACACTAATCCCTCCGTATGAAATGATTATGACACAGCACACGCTTGTTGTTTTTTTTAAGCTTAGCAAAGAAAAGCACTGTTTTCTGTAACCTGCTTCATGAACCTTCACCCTTTTTTCTGTTGCATAGATTTGAAAACGAATCAGACGACATGTCTCTCAGCCCTTTTCTCTTTATCCTCCTTTGCGCCTGTGGCCTTCATGTTTTATTACACTTGAACTTTGGTAATGTACACTGATCTCTCCGCAGCTACAAGAGGGGCGGAGTGGCCTCGGGTTTTAACCATGTTGACACAAACGTCTACAACGTGCTGCGATTGATGCACGTCAAAGGGAGGAAGCATGTCACAGCAACAGAGGTATGCACAGTGGAACATGGAAGTGAGGGGCTGCAGCAGGGCTTAATGCTTTACCTCCCACTGGCTGCTATCACAGGCTTCACACAGTCACGCTACAAGGGGGGTGTTGTGGCTCCCTCTCCAGCAAATTACGGCGTGCTCGTTTGCCGTAGCTGTCAGAGGAGGTGTTAATTGCCTGAGGAGTGCCGTGACTGTGTGATATTTACTGTCCATTTGATCGTAAGGAGAGTATTTGACAACTCTCCTCGGTGTCTGTGTGTGCAGGTGGAGGTGTCGTGGAACAGCTTTAACAATGGAGATATATTTCTCCTGGATGTGGGGAAAGCCATCGTGCAGTGGAACGGCCCCCAGAGCAACAGGAGGGAGAAGCTCAAGGTAACCTGATTGGTTGAATGGAGCGCTGAAAGTGAAGCTCTCGTAAAGTTTCCCAATTACAAGTAAAAGTTCCTGCATTTAGATTTTACAGAACTGTAATTAAATTTTTCAAAAGAATTATTATAATTGATGGAGAATAATTACATGTAACTTTAGCTACTCTTGTGTGTTAACTGAAAATTTTATACACCTTGTACATTTATTATATCACTTTCACATTTTTTTTTAAAGTCGTATGCAATTTATTTATCTTATATATTTATATTATAAGTACAAAATATCCTAAAATTACTTATTTACAGGTGGGATTTTACAGAATGCTGATTAAATATAGTACAAATATTAAAATAATCATTATTCTTAATATCTTATCATGTAAGAAACTTGCTGGTTGAAGAGTAAATTATAAAATTTTTCTTCGAGGGAAAATGACTAGATGTAATTTGAGGTGTTCTTATGTGGTAACTGAAAATTTTAGACATATTTATGCATCATATCTAAGTTTTTTAACATTATATATTTTATATGTCATATATTCGTGTTATAACTAACATATTAAAATGTCTTAATTAGAAGTGGAAATGGTGCATTCATATTTCCCCAAAAACTGATGAAATATACTTTAAATGTCAAAAATCTTTATTATTGATATCATAATACTTAAGTAACATGCTGGTCTAAGAGTAAATTATAATATTTTTCAGTGGTTTTAGCTATTCTTGTGTGGTGATTAAAGATTGTTTACACCTTTATATATTTTTGTGCATGATTAATACATCTTATTTTAATACATGTATACATTTGTGTAATTAATTCAGTATTTTTTATATTATATGGTATACAGCTGTAAGTATTACGCTTACAAATATCCATGAAATGTAAAGTATACGTGCAGAAAAAAGGAAAGAAATTAGTAATTAGCAGCTCAGAGGTAAACGACAAACCAACACTTAACTTTTAAGCCATTGCTGAGTTTTAGTGATGACGTGAATCTTATAATATTGTGGATATGTTTTATAATTTCAAGTCAGTAGCTGTATCTTTTTTAGTGTGTAAGCGTTAATGAAGAAGTGCAGTCAGATATGTTGGTTTGTCCAATGCACAAATGAAGGTGGATTTTATTTTGAACCTCTGAATTTGGTTTACGCTGCAGGAAGTAGTTCTACCATGGAGGCTCCTGTACCACAACCAAGCTGTACATGTTACTAAGAAACAACCTGCTGCCATATTTAGAAGGTTTTTGCCACATTGGATGAGCAGTTTTGATTAGGCAGAAGTAAATGCATCAAATGGAGTTATAATGGAGTTTTTCACATCTTAATCTAGACCTGTTATATTTTGAAATTCTCCCAAGTGTCTCCTACTATATAGAGTCCATGTTTGTTCATTTTTGCCTCACAGTTGTGGAGCTTTTACAGAATTTGCTGGTTTTGTTTCAGGTGGATATGTCTGAAAAATAGCCAGGGGCTTAAACTAAATAATTCACAACTTATTTTTGGAGAAGTTTCAGTGGTATCCCTTCTTCTCTCTTCGTTTTCCAGGCAGTCCTGTTGGCTCAGGACATCCGTGACAGGGAGCGAGGGGGTCGTGCTCAGATTGGCGTTGTAGAGGGCGCAAGTGAGCGGGACTCACCGGAGCTGATGAACGTCTTGACGGCTGTTCTTGGCCCAAAGCCCGCGCAGCTGAAGGCCGCCACTTCTGATGAGCCATCCAACATGGCGCAGAACAACAACGTCAGGCTCTACCAGTAAGGACACCATATCGATCTATTACATTTCTGCCACAACACTGTGGAAATATCATTGGCTAGTTAACAATAACACACACTTATTTCCTCATTTCTCTCTTCAGTGTTTTTGAAAACGGTGGGAATCTCGTGGTTCAAGAAGTGGCCATTCAGCCTCTAACACAAGACCTGCTGCGCTCCAATGTAAGTGTTTTTTTGTTGTTTTTTTTATCCTTCAAAGATGATTTTTCGACACAGTCATTGAAGAAAATGAGTCCTGTCTTATTGTTCATTCTCTCTTTTTCTCTGGTTGTCAGGATTGTTATATCTTGGACCAGAAAGGTTCCAGTGTGATGGTCTGGAAAGGCAAACAGGCCTCCGCGGCAGAACGACGAGAAGCCCTGAACAGAGCAGTGGTGAGTTTACAGCCTGATAAAAGTACACAAAACATCTTACTATTCCTCATTCTTATTTTTCAGATCAAATTAAATGTGTGTATTCTTGTGAAAACAAACCCTAACCTTCAACATTATGGTTTTCTTCAGTTCAGTGTATGAAGTTTGATCAAAATTTCTTTTCAGTAGCATTCAGAGGTGTTTTCACCACCATTTTTATACCTTCATCTTTTTCCACCAGGGCTATATCAAAACCAAAAACTACCCACCCAACACCAGTGTGGAGGTGATGGCAGAGGGAGGAGAGTCTGCAATGTTCAAACACTTGTTCAAATCCTGGAGCGACAAAGGACAAACTCACGGCATGGGCACCACCTATAGCGTCGGAAAGATAGGTAACCTCTACAAACCTGTGGCTCATATACCACAGCTCTTTTTTTTTTTTTCCAATAAATTCCGGCAGGTTTTATTTCCAAATTTTTGTTTCTGTAAATAACTTTGGGTCTCCACACAGCTAAGGTTGACCAAGTGAAGTTCGATGTGATGGACCTCCATGCACGTCCTGAGCTGGCAGCACAGCAGCGCATGGTGGACGATGCTTCTGGAGACGTTAAGGTGACAACAACAAACACACAGGACTTCCAACTTCAATGTCAGTGATCCAAATAAAACTCATAAAGGTTGCTGATTTCTATCAATTGTCAGGTGTGGCGCATTGAGAATTTGGAACTTGCCGAAGTAGATCCGAGTACATACGGACAGTTCTATGGAGGAGACTGCTATTTGGTGCTGTATTCATATAAAAGATCGGGCCAGCTGCAACACATCCTCTACATGTGGCAGGTCAGTTTCATCGCAGTTTCCCGCTTCTCCCTCTCTCTCTCCGTGCCTCTGACAAACTCCATTAACATGATTTACGCCTGTCTCGCGTCAGGGACGTCATGCCACTACGGATGAGATCACAGCATGCGCCTACCAGGCTGTCAATGTTGATAACAAGTACAATGGAGCCCCGGTGCAGGTCAGAGTGGTCATGGGAAAGGAGCCTCGCCATTTCCTGGCTATTTTCAAAGGCAAACTCATCATCTTTGAGGTGAGATTTTCACACTGAAGAACCCTTTTTCTTTTTGCTGGACTAAAAATGTTCACATGCAGAAAAAAAGGTCAATATTTTGCTTGCATGGGCAGTTGTAACATAAAGAAATAGAATAATTACAACATTAAATATCGTCACACTCCAAATTGAAAGCATTCCAACAACATGTAAAAATGAATCATACATGCATACGATAATAGTTGAAAGACACTGGAATTGTGTGTGTGCAAATCTGTGCATGTTTTTTTCTGTATTTTTATGTGTACATGTGCCTCTGTGTGTGTCTTCAAAGGGAGGTACGGGTCGACGTGGTGTGGTTAACCCCGACCCTGGTGCCAGGCTTTTCCAGGTGAGAGGGACCAGTGAGCTGAACACTAAGGCCACTGAAGTGCCGGCGAGAGCCTCCTCTCTCAACACCAACGACGTGTTCTTGTTGAAGACTGACACAAAATGCTACCTGTGGTACGGGAAGGTACGTATCTGGCGATGGAGTCGACGGGAACCTCAGTCAAATGATAAAAACGTGCATTTTGTGCGTCTGCGCTTTCACAGAATTCCATGTGTTTCATGATGTTTGTTTGATGTCGTCTCTCCAGGGCTGCAACGGGGATGAGAGGGTGATGGGGAGAGCCATCTCTGATGTGCTGTCCAGGCAGGACAAGCAGGTGGTGATGGAGGGCCAGGAGAAAGCTGAATTCTGGGTAGCTTTAGGTGGAAAGGCTCCATATGCCAGCGATAAGAGGTAAACACAGACAGCAGCAGCATCACACTTGTAAATCAGGGCTTTATGCTTTTAGGGGACAGAAATTTGAGCAGATTTTATTTTCCCTCAATGTAACTTGATCAGCCAGATGAACACTTAATGCAGCCTTTGTTATTTATTAGGGCATGTTGCATAAAAGCAGAATATACCCATTATAATAACCCATTAACAAGGACTCCAGATCTTATCCAAAAGGTCCTTTAATCATATTTTGAACCATTAATAAGCTTACATTTAAATCTGCACGGATTATTTTTAGATCAAGGTCAGTGGAATATGCCCAATGTCATCGGGAGCCAATGAAATGCAGCCTCCCTGCACAAAAACAGGGCAGATTACGGCGTTGTTGTGATAGAAAGGTCTGCGTTTTTGTTTTTTTCAGACTGCAGATCGAGACGCCGCGTCACAGTCCCCGGCTGTTTGAATGCTCCAATCAGACGGGTCGGTTTAGGATGACGGAGGTGGACGACTTCGACCAGATTGACCTGGACGAAGAGGATGTGATGCTGCTGGACACCTGGGAGGAGGTAAGAGGTCAAAGGAGAACCATGCAGACGTACATCCTCTGTCTGGGCCTCTTGCAAGGATGAATGTGAAGACCAGTGGCTTTTGTCTGTTGTTGTGTCTTCTTCATTCTGGCCAGAACAAAAGGAGGTCAGCACAGTGACTTCAGGTTGAAAAAGTTTTTTTTTTTTGGCCCTTGGTTTGTTGCCTTGTTAAGGTTAATTGAATTGTTGGGTTTCCAGTAGCCCCTTCTTTTCCGCCTTGCCCGGAAAAAAAATGATCGTGTCTCAATACATAGTATGTCAAATGCAAAATGTCAATTTCTCTGGTTTCATTTTGCAGCGTGCAATCCAGATTCATACCATACATAACGTGACAAGCTTGAGCCACCAGAGCAGCTCAGTTTACACCACAGACTGCGACGGCTATACGAGCAACACATCCAAAACTGAAGGCACAATATTATGATGGCGTATTATGTCCCAATTGTGTGCATACAATGTGGAACAGTATGTACTTTGTAAAGGCAGCTGTACTCACAGTAAAAAGACAAAGGTGCAGGGTAAATGTGTGCTCAATTATCCAAGATGGATTATTATCGCTCCCGTCTGGAAAGCTGTTCCCACTCATTGTTTGATTTGGATATTAGGTTCTACCCGTAGTTGTGTGATTATTTTTTCTTAGATTACCTTCTGCAGCACCTGGTACTGCCCCTCATTCTGACATACTTTTTGGGATTATTTAAAAAAAAAAAAAAGTCATAATACTGTGTGATGTTACATCAGATTACAGCTAAAATAGATGTGAATAGTTTCTGCAGCCTGGCATTGTGAACTCCCTGTAAAACCACAGCATCATTTTATATATCAATTTATGTGCCTATAAAACAAACAATAGTATAGCTGCCTATTTCCTCTACAAGCATAAATCATCTGTCTGCAAATACAGAAGAATCATGAGCAAAATGTAGAGTAACACAAGTCGTGTCTCTTTCATAGTAATTTGAGCTGTTGTTTTAGATTAGAAATGTCTAAAAATTAGCCTCTTAGTGTTGAAGTTTTTTTTAAAAATTGATCTTAGAAGAAGTCTCTAGTCACTGATTTAACCCCTAAGACTTCTTTCAGTGTATCAAAGTTACACATTAAGCACTTTTACCATGTAAATAATTCTTTCTTGCCTAAGAATGGCAAAATAATACAAACATTTTAAGTTTTAAACATTGTTTTAATCGGTTGGGTTGACATAATGATGTTGGTAATTACATCAAGTCAATATTGTATGTAATTAAAACTCAATTGCATTACATGATTTGAAACTCTCATTCAAATCCTCTCCTCTATCTTAATGTACCTGGACAATTTGAGACGGTTAAAACGAGTCATTAAAAATACATTTGGTTGAAGAGGAATAGCTGTTTCCCTCATTCACTGCAGTTTGTTTTTACCATAATTTTATTAGAAGTTGTCCATTGAAGTGTCCATTTTTTTGTTTTGATCAAACACTATTTTTTAGTGTGTAGAAAACGTTCAGCTCCCCATTTCTCTTTCCACCCACACCTCAATGTTCGCTGCAGCTTGAACACAGCATTCTTTGTAGAGAATAATGATGCCCCCACCATGCACCCTGACAGGACTGGTTCCTTAGATTTACTACATATCAAACTCTGGGTATTTGAATCTGTATTTTTGAGACCGTCTTAAATTTTCTGTACATTTTTAAAGACTGAACAGTGGATGCATCGCTGTATATAAACTTATAGCGTGTTTGCCATCAAATATAATCTACCTAATACAGAAATAACGGGCAGCTGTAGTTGTCAGATAAACGCAATGTAGTAAAAAGTGTTCTGAAAGTTGACAGTTTTTTTGATGATGAGTGCTTCTTGGTCATTAAAGCAGCCTAACTGTCAGTTACAGTGTACAACAAGTTCTGCAATAGATTCATGGTGTTATTATTCTGTCTCTGTCTCTTGCTTTCCTTCTTCCCAATCCCCTTAGATTTTCTTGTGGATCGGACACTTGGCCAATCAGTCCGAGACCAAAGACGCGTTGAACAGCGCACAGGAGTACCTGAGGTTCCACCCAGCGGGCCGTGACCCCGACACACCCATCATCTCTGTCAAACAGGGATATGAGCCGCCCACTTTCACTGGTTGGTTCAACGCATGGGATCCTCATAAGTGGAGCGTAAGTTTAATAGCCTCTCTTTGATCTCCCCGGAAGTCACTGGAGAGGAGGGTTATTAATAGACTAATACAGCATGATCAAGGCATTACAAAATTTCCATTACACCAACATGCCTATCTACTGATTATGGAAAAGAGCTGAAAATATCCCATGAATTCTATGAATAATCTCATGCGAATGAATCATTTTTGAAAGTAGGAGGAACACGAAGTCACTTGTGGATGATTTAATGGACTGTCTGAGGATGAAGAACACCCTGCATGCTTACTAATTTTCAATCCTGGTTCACTTGATCTTCTCAACAGGGAGGAAAATCCTATGAGGAATTGAAAAAAAAGCTGAGTGATGCAGAATCTCTCGCACAGATCACTGTAGTAAGTGATTGACTGACACTAATCCTAACATTAACAGAATAAATGCACTAATATCATTAATGTACTAACCGCTAATGTCTCTAATGAGATACATAATGACCCGTGAGTCCTATTCATGATGTCTTCATTAAAAATGTGATTTCAAAAACGTGTATCTACAGGGCCTGAACCTCACTACTGTGGATAAGGGTTCTCCGGGGTTTGGTGGGGGTAGCTACAGGGCTCCAGGGGGCCCCGTGAGCTCCCCTCCACTCTACAGGGTCCACGGGATTGGTCAGTCCCCCGGACACTCTGGCCCCTCCAGCCCGTCCACCCCAAGAACTCCGTCATTCCCAAGAACCCCATCGTCCCCAAAAACCCTGTCCTCTGTGTCCATGGCCTGGTCGTCGGCGAGTAGCGGCCAGGGGACGTATCTGAACCCAGAGCTCCTCGTAAACATGCCTCCCACCGACCTACCGGACGGAGTGGACCCCACCCAGAAGGAGGTGGGTGTTGTGCAAATAGGAGAAAATCATTATATGATAATTAGTGTTAGTTATGAGAAAGCTGTAAGCAGGCATGGATTAGTGAGTGGGTCTCTGCTGAGGTGACTGTTAACATGACTTGTAGAGTATCTCTCATACTGAACCCAGTCCAGGAACGGCAGACTGAGACTTCAACAACACTACATTTATTTACCGTTTTTTATTTAAGTCAGCTGTTGTGTCATATGGTTTCATGCAATAGTTTGTATAGTGTATTTTTTGTGCAGTAAAGGGTCCTTGGGATCTACTTTGGACAGGATTCAGACAGCCTCTCTTCATTCTCATACTGAATCAAATATCAAGGTTCAATTGCTTTTTTTTTTTTTTTTTTTAACCGAAAGCACTGCAAAAATACACAAAATTAAAATAACCACAAAAGCATTGGACAGAGACACTGAATAGCTATAGAAAGATTCAAATTAACCACAAACAGACACAAAATGACGACACAGAGACATGAAATGACTACAGAGGGGCACAAACAACCAGAAACGTATACAAATGACAACAGGAAAAAAAACAACCACAAAAAAAAACACACAAATTAGCTACAGAGATACATAAGATGACTACCAAGAGATACGAAACAGCGACATTGAAACACAAACTGACTACAGAGATGTTATATATGTGATAGATAAATATGAAATTCCTACAGAGACACAAAGTGAAAAATAGAGAAGGTGAAAAGAAACAAAATGACTATAGATAGACACTAAACATCCACAAAAAGACACAAAATGACTATCAAGAGACACATAAAAACACACACAAAGAAATAAAATCTCGACATAGAGACACAACAATCACAAAAAAAACACACAATGACCTCAGAGAGACACAAGAAACACAAACGAAGAAACATATTCACTACAAAAGACACAAAACAACCACAAACAGACACAAAAGGACTTTCTAGAGACATGAAACACAAACGAAGAAACAAAATGACTACAGAGAGACACAGAACAATCACAAAAAGACACACAATGACCTCAGAGACACACACAAAAAGAAACGTAATCACTACAAAAGACACAAAACAACCACTTACAACATATATAAATGACAAAATGAACAAAAAACAGCTACATATCACCTAGAGAGATTTATTACAGAATTATTACAGACATGAGATAAACACCGAGACACTAAACACCCACAAGAAGAGACAAAGTGACTGCAGAGAGACACAACATCAATGTAGTGACACAAAATAATTACAGAGAAACACCAAAAAATGCAAAAGGAAATGGAAAATGACCTCAGAGAGAGAATAAACCCACAAAGAGACGTAAAGCACAATGTCTCTTTCAGTATGTCTTGATCCTAAATAAATAAGGGCGGAGACTCTTTCTCTTGTTTGTCCTCGGTGGCTAATCGTCTCATACTGTATCCTGATGTAATAACACGCTGCGTACAGTGGAGGTCAGCCTAACTGTTCTCCGTCTTCTCTGGCTTCAGGACTACCTGTCCGATGTGGACTTCGAGAACCTGCTCGGCACAACTCGCGCAGACTTCCACCGCCTGCCCAAGTGGCGTCAGAGCGACTTGAAGAAGAAAGCAGGACTTTTCTGAGAAGAATCCAACGCCGTAAAGAGAAGCGCTGAGAAAGTCAAAACCAAACTCTAAGCTGTTGTTGAGAGAAAAAAGAAATTCTGCCAATATTTTCAAAGCATCTGCCAAGTTATTGTGATTACAAGTGTTTTACAGACTTAGCCTATAAACAGGATTGTGATATGAAGAATCTAATTTAAAGGACATACCTGACACTTTCCTTTGAGATTATTTTTAATTGTGCTGCTTTTTATTTAACTGTATTTTTCAATGTTTTAAGCTAATCATATTAAGCGATGCTACACATCCTCACATGTCATGGGTAAATTAATCATCTTATATAATGAAGAAACACAGGAAACCTTCAATGAGGGACTCAGGGGCTGGTTTTATTTGAGAGCTAGTGCAAAATGCAGATAAGTAACACGACATACTGAAGGCACTGAGTCATTTGTCACATGGAAAACTGCTGTAAAACCTCCCATGATTAAAATAATAAAGTGTGATACATTGAAAACAAACCTGCTTGATAAAGTGGATTAAGTTTTATTCAGATTGGAATCATGTGAAGTACACTTGCTCCTCATCTCGTCAAGAAACGGAGGTTTGAAGCATTTTCGGTCTGTTTGAAAGAAATCATATTTACAAGGAGAGCATTCATCTCAAAGTGAATAAACAGAAGCACGCAGACGTACACGAGGACATTTACATTCTGAGAGCATGCTGTTCATACGGAGCTACAGACTCGTCGTTATTAAAACTGAGAAGGTACAAATCAAAGCTTGTTCTAGTTTGATAAAATATGAAAACACAAAACCACCAAAAACACTTTGTTTTCATGAGGATGATTTATATGATCCTGAAGGGAAATGCCATAAAGTCTCAGGGAATCTATTTAAAAAAACAGCAAGTATCTTCTGCTGTAATTCACACACAAAAGTCACTTTATACTTATTATATATTTCCCCTCTGTATGGCAAACCCCTTCTAATTACTTTCTTAAAACAATTCCCTGCATTTCTCATTCACCCCTTCCACACACATTGTCATTCATTCTTGCTTTTGTTACACCACAGGAGCTCTCGATCAAACCGGGGTGTTTAAAAAGCGAAAATTACACGACAGAAAATGTCACCGTGAGTCAGCAGCTGTTGCTTGGCAATCCACATAATGTCTTATCCTTGAAGATCATTTTGAAATATTTGATCAGAGTTTTGTTAATTAGCTTTAAAACTGGATAAATTCTAGTACAGTTTGCTTAAAAAATATAAAATGCTGTTGCTGGCATGAGGAGTTTTTAACAGGTATGAGTCTACTGGGCGTCCATGAGCATGAGATGCACAAAGAGTCCAGCGGAGCAGATGACGTCTCCTCTCTTGGTGAGCAACGGGACGTGACGATAACCTGGAAAACAGAAGTTAATGTTAGCGCTGTCAGCAATATTAGTCAGAACCACTTCATAAGCTGTGTTACGGCAAAAGGAGGAACATAGGAGTCATATGATCTACGTAAAGTTGTCAGTGACTGTCAAAGAAAAGTAAATAAGGACTAGGACCCCCTTTAAAGTTAATGCATAATTAGAGAATACAATAAAGCAGCAGTGGCCTAAAAAGTGCTTTTTTTTGTCGTACATCTTCAGTTTGCACTTTATTATCTGCTAAATGGTTTAATGGTTTTTATTCTAATCATCATACTTTCTAAATCCAGATAGTCTCTAACATCTGGACTTTCTTACCATTCTGTACACTGGTGACCGGCAGACAGTAATGCCCGATGAGATCATTCTGAGATGTTGAGTCATAATCCTCCACCACAAATCGCAGCATGGCCAGCTCTGGGACGTGGATGTTAAACTGGAAGCTTTCATTCCACATGGGGTTGAAACCTGCAGGGATGGACCATTAGTTAGATACTGTATATTTCTCATCTTAGTGTGAGTCTGTGACATGTTCTCTGTGCTTGTACCGTTGTTATCAATGTAGTGCGTCTCCTTGCTGGCGTTGTCCGCCGGGACACCGTAGATCTCCACTCTCACCAGAGGGTCCACGATGGATTTGTGTTTGTCCTTGTTGATTTTCGGTAACTGCTGAGCCGAGATCACCTGTTGAGAGAAAGAAATGAACGCATGGAACAATGTAGATGTAGAATTAAATTCACAGTAGAACATGATCATAATTAGTCAAATACAAATTGAAGGACAACTTTCTGCGTATGTGCACACTGTCGACGTGATCAGTGGTAAAAAAAAAATAGCTAAGAATCCACTAATTTAATTTGAAATGTTACTTTGCAGATTCACATAAACAAAACAAGACATAATGAACAAACACATTATCATATTTAACTATACATCAGTATATAAATCAAAATGAAACCTTCCTTTACCAGATGCAACAATAAAAAGAACTTGCATCTACAATTAAACTACAACAATACTATAAATGTTCCTCTGAATGGACCATTGTGCATAATGTCTGCTTCTATTTAACTATTAATTTTAGTACATTTTCATGCTTTTCTGTGTATGTGTACAGCATTGCTTTTACTTATTGTATGCAGTTGTATGGCTACGACTACTTGAAGATCTGAACACTTCTTCCACCTCTGGCCATGATACACAAATAGTTCCCCAGTAACAGCTACCAAACAAGGAAGTAAACAATTTTATTTTCCAAATACTCGCCTTTGCCAATGTTTTTTGAGCAAGTTTGTAAGTCCTCAGGGGAAACAAGCAAGTAGTACTGAATGTAAACAGAGCAGAAAAACTCCCAAGGGCACCTGTGAGTCTAACAAACACAATTCTTTTTTTGGGTTAAACTCCCACCATGATGTGAAAGATCTTCCGCTTCAGCCAGGGCCCTTTGGCGAGTGTGTTGGGATCAAACTGAGAGGACAGGCTTCTCTGAAACTCAGGCTTCAGGACGTAGCCACATGTACCGTTGGGCAGGAACCGACCCTGGTTTAGGTGCATCTCCTTGGAGGGAGTCTGGAAGTTCAGCGCCACTGAAGTCAGAGAGAAGAGAGTGTGAAACCATTACTCTGCTTCTAATAGGCCAATGAGTGGATTTCTCCTCACTGGAACGTACCAATCTGGCAGCCGACGTTCCACATGGGCACAGGGTTGTAGTTGGAGGAGTTGGTTCTGGAGCCGGCTGGGTAGATCCTGCTCAGTTTGTCCATGTTGTGATGGATGTAAGCGGTAGCTACGGGAACACATTAAAACCCTTAAACAACACAGTTTGCCGTTAAATCACACCAAAGTTTGTTGCCTAACTCGGACATGTCAGTTTACCTGAGGTCTCAGCCAGGTTGAAAGCTTTGCTCTCCTTAAAGGACGACATTTCATAGAAGCCCTGGCTGTCTTTGGCGTGTTCAAAGCCGCTGAAGTGAACGCTCTTACAGTAGATGACGATGTCTGAGAGCTGTTTGGCAAGTTTGATCTTTGATTTCTGAAAGGACACAGGAAAAAGACCAAAGTGATGTAAAACATAATACACACTTACAAAGAAATATCCTACAAGTTTGCAAAAAGCATTTAAACCCACCTTTGGTTTTGCTTTCTGGCCATTCTCACAATCTGCAGCCTCGTCCTCCTCAGACACTGTGCCTTCCTCTGCGATGTTGTTGTTATGGAAGAATGCATCCAGTTTGTTCAGTCGCTTTCCCTTGATGAGGAACTTGCCCTTTAGCTCCTGCACAGACACAGACAAAAGATTACTTCAAGTAATGCAGGGAGGCACATGTTGTCATTTTAATGGCGAAAAGCGTGTTATTGGTAAGCGCTGGCCACACCCTCGAAGCAGCCAATGACGGAAAGGAAAAGGTCCTGTAATGCATAACTAAAATTTCCTTTGAGGCTAACAACGCCACAGGCATTTATTCCATGGAGGCTACATTTAAAGCATTATTTTTAAAATGTCCACTCTCTTTGTATCTTTCTCAGAATTTAATTTCTGTTCATCTCGCAGATTTTTGCTAAGAGGAAAGATAGAAAGTAACAAAAATATGACTGAAATGGAAGCATAAAAACTACACCAAGGAAGAAATGGATTAACTATCTTAGAGGCTAATTAAAAAAAGAACAAACAAACACCAAAACAACCAATATCCTGTATTGAATTTTAATGAAAATGTTCTTAGCTTGCACCAAAATTTAATCAGCTCTTTCTGTGTCAGTACTCCTCTTCTTCACCAAATTTCATGAAATTCAGGCTGGTAGTTTTTGCCTCCTGCCCAACAGATGCTCACACATTTCTTTTAAAATGGAAAACGACTAAATGAATATAAATTGCTTTGTGCACTCATTGCATACCTGGTGGACAAACTCTAAACCTCGCTCACATACGAATTAAACTCCACACGCAGACAACCTCTCTTATCGCACAAGGGCTTTTCTCATACATTCATTCTCGTTCACTATCAGATCTAATAGTGGCTTATTAGTTAATAAGGAACTGCTTAATAAAATGCAAAACTGCTTTGTAGCACAATGAAGAGGAGGAGCAGAGGCTCAAGATTGATGGTGTTTTGATTATGCTGCATTCGTTGCTCACATAATGAGGATGGGTTTTACTTAAATCTCATTAGCTTCCTTTTCCCAGACAAATTTACCAATCACGTTTAAGTAAACAGGAACATGAAAAATCTGGCAGAGCGATTAATTAACTTAAGAGGTGGAATTTTAAGGAGTGGTCTTCCTCTCTTATTTTAGAGGATATTCACAGCGAGGCTCCAGCATAAGGTGCCTCAGAAAGCTTAGTTTAAAGATCAACACACCTCGGGTGAAGGGAAGTTGGTGGGCATGGTGTCGCCCAGGGGCTTTGTTACCAAAGCATCGCCCAGGATGGAGATTAAATAATGGGCCATGAGCTTCTGTTGCTCCACGGTGCAGTGGTTCTCCAGCGACAGAATCACTGGGTAGTCAGACGTCTGCAGAACAAAGGAAACAACGTGAAGGTGAAGTTCCTGACTTTGGGAATGATATGCAACCACCAATTAGCCATCTGATACATCCCACAGGTAATAAAACATCCCACCTACCTTGAAGGCGTAATCTTTGATGGCTTTGATGACGTCACTGAAGAGCACTTTGGATGTGATCGTGTAGCCGTGATAAATAACAGGCTCTCCGTTAGCTCCGTCCCAACAGTCCAGCTCCACACAGCGGCAACTCTTTGTCAGCGCTCTGCAAGGTAAGAAAGCAGCCATGACCACCAACACACCACAGAGATCTCTCTTGGTGTTTTTACGTCACAGAAATGTTACCAGGAACTTAGAAATTAGTGGCCAATTTGGTTCCATGCTGTCAAGATAGCACCTTGTGAAAGCCCTTTGGGATAAACTAAAGCCAGAATTGAGACTGACGCAACTTGTGTGCATCGTTCAGCCCAACTGGAAGCAGATACTCATGTCACAAGGTTAAATATTAGGATGTGGTATTAGGATTTCTTGTAAAATTACAGTGTTACGGCCCCTGTTGTTTAGGCCGAGTTGCTCCTGGGGTGGACGTTGTGCAGCCTCTGTGTGGAGAGGCTGCTTGTGAAGACCGGAGCTGATCACAACTGGCTGAAGACCGTGTTCCAGATTTCATCTGGCAGACATCAGGGATTATTGCCCTGGAGCTCCAGACCTGCTGTCAGCCCTTGTCCTCCCCGCCTCCCATCACCCTTGATTGGTCCACCACCCAGNTTGTCCTCCCCGCCTCCCATCACCCTTGATTGGTCCACCACCCAGGTCCCTCCTCCAAGACCCCAGCAATCACCACACCTGGTTATAAAATCGCTACTGAACTCTCAGTCAGGGCGGCTGGGATTTAACGGGAACAGTTCGCCGAGGTGCCTCTTGTTTTGTGTTACAGTGTTTTCTGTGTTCAACCATAACTTCTGTTAACAGCTGTTAACTTTGTGTAGAAGCTACTCGTGTTTTAGTGAAGACTGTGACTGTTGAAAAGTTACTTGTGTCTTGTGGGGTTTTTTTTTAAAATTTCTATGTGTTTTGAGGCACTTGCTTATTTAGTTTCTTTTGTTAGGTGTGGGTGTTGCTATTGGATTTAGGTTTGGTTTTATTTGGTTCACTGATTTTAGCAACATCCACCAATTTTCTTTGTATTATTAATGTTTTTTTATGTTACTGAGCAATAAATTGCTTTACTACCACAACAACTGTTTTTTGTTGCATCCAGCTGACCCTAGAAGCTGGATCGCAACAACAGTTAAAAGTTCTTTAGGTTCAAAGGAATATTCGAAAAGTCGTAGTTTTAGTTCATGATTTAGTTCCTAAGACTGTCTGATTGAAAAGGATCATCTGTCTAAGCCATGGGTGTTGAATCCTGGTCCTCGAGGGCTGCAATCCTGCATGTTTTAGATGCCTCCCTCTTCCAACACACCTGATTCAAATGATCAGGATCGTTATCAGGCTTCTGCAGAGCTTGATGATGAGCTGATCATTTGAATCAGGTGTGTTGAAGAGAGAAACATCTAAAACATGCAGGATTGTGGCCCTCGAGGACCAGGATTGCCCACCCCTGTCTTAGACGATAGTGAAATCAGGAAGAAGAAGCGTGACAAGTAGAAGTACCAGAGGCTGAAGGAACTACAGATGTGTAAGGTAAGTGGTAATGAGAGCATGAGGGGCTGTGTGAGTGACTCCTGCAGGTCCCGTTACAACATCTGAGGTCTCTGCATAGAAGGGAGCAGTATGTAATGTTAGCTGTTCTTAGCCATGATACCTGACGGAATTCTCAAAGTCACAAGTGCGAGGAGATTTGTGAAAAATATCTGTGTATTATATTATTAGATGATTAACGGCAAT